GCGGCAGGCTTGGGGACGAGCGCTTCGGCGCGGTGCTGGACCAAGCGCTGGAGGAGTGCAGGGCAGCCTCGCGTGGGTGATGAAGTCTTGAGGTTGGCCTCCACCACATAGGGGGAGGAGGAGGAGGAGGAGGAGGAGGAGGAGGAGGAGGAGGACGAGGAGGAGGAGAAGGAGGAGGAGGAGGAGGAGGAGGAGGAGGAGGAGGGAGGAGAAGGAGGAGGAGGAGTAGGAGGAGGACCTGTGCAAACCAACGACGCATCAACGTTGTTGTAACAAACCCTCCCTCCAGTTTCCTTTTTCCTAGGTCCCTGAAAGAATTTGTTCTTATTTCGGGAAGTGGCCCAATAGAAGACAGCTGTCCTGGATTCCTCAGTCGTGCCAGAAAGCAGTTCTTGATATTCCGATACTTCGTATCAACGTGACTGATGCGTCTTGACTATCCTAAAGCGTGCCAGGCCACTATTCCTGGGTTTTGAACACCGGTTACCATGATTGTTGCGTCATCACAGTCCTAAATCGTGCCAGAAAGCAGTTCTTCGGACTGCGATCGTACGAGTCCTTGCGAGTGGCGCAACTTTTGAACGCACATGTGCGTGGGCAAAAGACGAGAGCCACATTTTGAACATCAACCGCGCTCCATCTTTGAAGCTGTAGCTATCTTTCAACGTGTGCAAGGGGCGCTAAAGCGAGAGCCACATTGTGAGAACCACCCGCCCTCCATCCTCGAAACATTTGCAAACTTTGAAACGACATGTGCACGGTGCTCAGGCGAGAGCCAAATTTTGAAAGCCACGCGCCCTCCATCCGTGAAGCTGCTGCAGGCTTTACATACGAATGTGCGCGGCGCTGAGGCGAGAGCCACATTTTGAAAACGACCCGCCCCCCGTCCGTGAAGCCGTTACAAACGTTCAAGACGAAGGTTCGATGTGCTACATGCGACAGGCACATTTTGAAACAGACCTGCCCTCCATCCATGAAGCTATTGCAACTTTCAAGCTTCAAGACTAGAATGGCTAGGAAGTCTCAGGTGAACCGTCCGGCCCGCCCTACTGACACGTGTGGGGGTGCGACAGGGATGAGTTACATATAAGGCATAGAGATGGAGGATGAGGAGGAGGAGGATGAGGATGAGGAGAAGGAGGAGAAGGAGGTGGAGGAGGAGGAGGAGGAGGAGGAGGAGAAGGATCAGGAAGAGAATGGAGGAAAAGCACGGGGAGATGCAGGCGAAAGAGGAGGTGGAGGATGGAGGAGGAGGTTGAGGATGAAGGCGGAGGTCGCTGATGGAGGTGAAGGTGCAAGGTGGAGGAGGATGGAGGAGGATGGAGGTGGAGGGTGAGGGGGAGGGCGGTGGAGGATGCCGAACCGCCGCATCTTTTTGTGGCCTGTGCCGCGCCAGCAGGAGAGGCGCCTCCGGGAGCGGCGCATCCTCCAGGCGCGGGGCTTCTTCTCCACACCGAACGGTATCGTCTGGCGCGTAGCCCCCTCGGGCGTGGCGAGCGGGCTGGCACCGGACGGCAGCAAGCTGCGCGACAAGGTGAAGGTGTCGGAGGACGACAAGATCGAGCTGGGGCCCTTCCGCCTGGACGAGTCGAAGACCTGCAGCTGCATCCACTGGCACCGCAAGGACGACCCTGCCAAGGGCTGGGTCTGGGCGAAGGACAACACTTTGCAGACTAGGCTGCGCATCGGCACGGCCTTCCCCGGCGGCAGATGACCCATCGCCTGCCGCTGTTTGTGAGGAGGCCGGGCAAGGTGAGCGGCACGTCCTCCTCCCTGTCCTCCTGCTCCTCGTGCGTCGAAGTCATCGGTCGCAGCTCGCCCATGCCCGCCCGGGCCGCTGGGGCTTGGGCCCCGCGGAGGGGAAAGACCAGGAACCAGGAGGAGCTGGAGAAGTAGGAGCACGGAAAGCAAGAGCAAGGGGATGATGATGACGAAAAAGATGATGACGATGATGATGCTGATGATGATGGTAATGATGATGGTGCTAGTGGTGATGATGCTGATGATGATCATGATGATGACGATGCTGATGATGATGCCGGCGTTGGCGACGACGATGAGAGCGATGATGATGGCGATTCTGATGATGATGATGATGATGGCGGCGGTGGCGACGACGAGGATGATGGTGATGATGATGGTGGTGGTGGTGATGATGATGGTGGCGGCGGCGGTGACGACGACGATGACGAATTCGATGATGACGATGATGGTGATGCTGATTCTGATGATGATGACGAGGACGATGATGAGGAAGATGACAATGACGATGATGATGATATTGATGATGATGATGATGATGATGATGATGATGATGATGATGATGATCATGATGATGATGATGATGATGATGATGATGATGATGACAATGATGATACGGATGTCGTGCTAATGATGATGCTGATGACGGTGACTTCGACGACAGCTATGGCGGTGGTGATGATGTGGATGATGTTGTTGTTGATGATGATGAGGGCGGTGATGATGATGACAGTGATGATGATGCTCATGATGACGTATGGTGGATAGTGATGAATGGTGGTGGTGGTGATTCTGGTTACGATCATGATGATGAGCACTATTACACTGATTATGATGACGGTTATGCTGCTGATGCTCATGACGATGATGTTGGTGATGATGTTGTTGAAGTTGGTACTGCTGATGAAATTGCTGATGCTGATGATGATGGAACTGATGATGATGGAACTGATTATGTTGCTGCTGTTGATGATGCTGATCATGCTGATGATGATGATGCTGATGCTGATGCTGATGATGATGTTGATGATGATGGTGGTGCTGTTGACGATGACGACGATGACCATGACCACAATTTTGCTGTTGACGATGATGCTGGTGTTGATGATGCTGACTATTCTGCTGATGCTGATGCTGGTGCTGATGGTGACCAGGGTATGAGGGTGACTATTCTGCTGATGCTGATGATGATGGTGAGTATGGTTATGGTTGTTGTGATGATCTTGATGGCGATGGTGATACTAATGATGATGCGGATGCTGATGGCGATGATGGTGTTGTTGCTGCTGCTGATTATGATGCTGATTATAATGAGGGTCTTGATTTTGGCGATTTTGATGATTGGGAGGATGATGAGACTGATGCTAATTCTGATGATGATGATGATGATGATGCTGATGATGATGATGATGATGCTGACGCTGATTATGATGCTGTTGATGATGCTGCTGATTCTGGTGCTGATGCTGATGCTTTTGTTGTGGGTGATGATGGTGATGTTTACGATGATGAGGCTGCTGCTGATGATGATGATGCTGATGATGATGATGCTGATGCTGAAACTGATGCTGGTGATGATGATGATGATGAAGAGGATGATGAGGATACTGATGATGATGGTGATGCTGCTGCTGATGATGATGATGATGATTATGATGATGATGATGATGATGATGATGATGATGATGATGATGATGATGATGATGCTGATGATGCTGATGATGCTGATGATGGTGATGGCGATGGTCATAATGATGGTGATAATGATGCTGACGAGGAGGAGGAGGATGAGGAGGAGAAGCGGAGCAAATTCACGATTGGAGCTTCCCTTCCCCCCTCCTCGACCTCGCAGGAGAAGCCTGGCCGTGCCCGCGCCCCCGCCCGTCCCCTTGCCGTCCCCTCGCCGCCGCAGCCGTGGCCGTGCTCGGCCGCTCCCTCGAGCCTGCTGGGGAGATCGCGGCCGGTCGGAGGATGGAGAATCGAAAACGGAGGGGAAAATGGGTAGAAGGAGGAGGAGGAGGAGGAGGAGGAGGAGGAGGAGGAGGAGGAGGAGGAGGAGGAGGAGGGAGAGGAGGAGGGGGAGGAGGAGGAGGAGGAGCGAGGAGGAGGAGGGGGAGGAGGAGGGGGTGGAGGACGGAGGAGGAGGAGGATTGAGGAAGAGGGTTGAGGAAGAGGAGGAGGTGGTGGAGGAGGAGGAGGAGGAGGGGGCGGTTGAGGGGAGATGGCAAGGTGTCGACTCCACGCAGAGGTTTCTGAGGTGTGGCTAGGATTTGTTTGGGCGCAGGGGTATTGTCAGAGGAGGCAGGGGGCCTGGACGGAGGAGGGATGGAATCCAGAGGGAGGGAGGGAGGACGGCGTCGGATGAAGACGAGGCGGATTGTTCTGGGACGCTTCGTTCTTATTGCACACATTTTTTGACACGTTTCGTCAGTTTCTGGTTGTTTCCAGGAGGCCGGAGTGGGGGATGGGGTGGTTGAGGGATGAGAAAGGGACAGAGAAAGAGAAAGAGAAGCAGAGAGTGCAAGAGCACGAGAAAGAGAAGGATGTGCAGAAGGAGAAGGAGGAGTGAGGAGGAGGAGGAGGAGCGAGGATGAGGGAGGAGGATTGAACAGGAGGAGGATGGAGGATCACGACGATGAATGATGAGGATGGGTGGATTGATGGATGGATGTATGGATGGATGATGATGATGCTGATGATGATGATGATGTTGATGCTGATGATGAAAATGAAGATGCTGATGATGCTGCTGCTGCTGATGATGATGATGATCATGATGATGATGATGACGATGATGCTGATGCTACTGCTGCTGATGAGGATGCTGGTTATGATGATGACAGTGGTGCCGACGATGCTGGTGACGGTGACCATGATAGTGGTAGTGATGATGTTAATGATGATGGTGAAGCTGATGATGATGATGCTGATGATGATGATGATGATTATGGTGATGATGTTGCTGCTGATGATGATGATTATGATGTCGATGCTGATGCTGGTGATGATGATGATGATGATGCTGATGATGCTGTTGATGCTGATGAAGATAATGACGACGATGATGATGATGATGATGATGATGATGATGATGATGATGATGATGATGATGATGATTATGGTAAGGAGGAGGAGGATCAGCAGGAGCAGGAGGATGGAGGAGACAAATGAGAAGGAGTTACATAATAAGTTGGAGGAGGATGTGGATGACGGAGGATGGAAGATGACGCAGGTTCATG